TTCATTTAAATCGGTTCATTTATTTAGGAGAAATCAAATTTTGTTTAAAAAGTTGCAAAAAAATTTATTTTGCAATAACTTTTATAAAAAATAATTTTTTTTTGTTTTTTGGTGGACACATTCTGAAGGCCAAATAGAAATGTTTTTTTAACATTTCGATTTAAAAAAAATAATTTTTATTTTCTGTGAAAATTTCACGAATTCTGACCCTTTCATAAATAATAAAATTTCACAGAAATTAAATTTATTTTTAACCATTTGAATAAGAATTTTCGCCGCAATAATTTAATTATTTTCATAAATAATAAAATTATTCTCAGAAATTCAATTATTTTTGAAAATATATAATGTAAATTAAATAATAATTTAATATTTTATGTTTATTAAATAAATAAAATTATTTGCAACTAGGTATTCAATTATTATCATAAATGATAAAATTTATCGCAGGATTTCAATTATTTTGAATATAATTTAACAAGAATTGCTCAAAAAATGTAATGATATTCTTAAAAATTTAATTTCAATTACTCCAAAAAAAATTATTTAAGAAACGTTTCTCTCAAAATTCTTTGGAAGAATTTAATTATTATATTTACAATAATTATAGAAATTTTAACATGAATTCAATTATTTTCAAATATTTTAAAAAAATTAGTCGAAAGATATCAATTATTTTAAATACAATTTTAATTAATTACTTTTTAAAATAATTAAATTATTCTTTTATATTTTAATAAAATTCTTATGAAGAATTCAATTATCTACATAAAGAATTCTACTTGTTTAATAATTTTTTTTAGAGTGAAAGCTACTTTTTTAAAATTAATAATTTGTAACGATGGGCTATGTATTAATATATAGAGAAATAGAATACGTCACACACACAGCCATCGTAGTCGCGTTCAGCGTGAGAGCTACGAGAGAGTAGCGACCGCGCACGAAACTTGCGTCGCCTGCCTCCGCTCCCCCCACCACTCGCTCTCTTCCCGTCGCGGCAGAGCGAACCGATATACCTCGCTGCACGATCCCAGATCGTCAGTTCGTCTACCGCCTTGGCTCGAGGTGCTCTTCTTGCCTAACAGGTACGAACTCACTTTGGGCATTAGACTCAGATAGAGGTGCTCTTCTGGTGAGTAAAATGCTGTCAAAGGAAATGTTCTTTCTACCCAGGTGCTCTTAGGTCGAACGAACTTTCTTTTACCAGGTACTATGCAACTGACCAGGGGTGCTCTCGTGGAAAGTTGACAAGTACGCCTCGTTTTAATTAACTTCCGTTCCTCGTAATTCATATTCACTCGTTACCGCATACGGCAAGGATTTCGGCAGCACCCGGAATTTGAATTAACCCCTAGGTGCTACTTGGTTAATTCTAAGAAGTGCGCGAGCGCCATAGGTATCGTCGGACTCGTGTAACGTGGAAGCCTATTCTAGAACTGTCTCGCGAATATGAATTAAATCCCCGCATCGGAAATGCAAACTGAAGCGCGTAACACTTGTAACTGAAATCTAATGCGAATAAAGTATTGACTAAACTCCGCGAGAACCGATAATTATAAGAATTAGTAATATTTGTTTAAATGAATTTCTAATGTAAACTAAAGTAATTCTTTCGACGAGAAATAATTGTTAAGTAACTTTCATACCAATTTACGTTTCACTATTTTTTTTACATTTATATTTATTGTTTTCTTATATTTCTTATTTTTATTGTTTGTTAAATATTTTTCCTTGTTTTACAATATATTCACTTTCGAAGGTTTAAATTGAGATTCGTTACTGACTACACCTCTCCTCGAATTCACAGCATAAATAATAATTACGCAATGCTCAACCCAATATTTAGTAATTATTAATTAAAGAAACTACGTTAGGTACCCGGACTCCATCCGGCGAGCGAATTCCGTAGCAAAATAAAAACCAGATCATTACAAATTTAGTGCGAAGTTTAATACCTTAAAATATAAAAAGCAGAAAAAGATATAATTAAAATTTGCTCGAAAAATAATTTTTATGTTTTTACAATATAGAGTTTCATATAAATGCATTTACGGCATATTGACTTCGTGATATTGACATAATTTTGTTTCAATATACACTGTCTTTTTTAAGAAAAATTGTTATAAAAATAAAATTTTATTTTAATTATTAGAAGTTTAAAATAATTATATTTTTCAAAAATTTTAAACTCTATGAATTACAGTTTTTAGATAATAATAAATTTAATCCTTTTAAATTTAATAACTTTTACCGCGCGACCTCACACAACTTCTATGCAATACATACACAAGCAGAGGTTTGTACATACACGCTTTAGTTCACCCTGTTTTGACTACGCAGAGGCGCTGAAGTAACAACACGACTCTCCGGAAAAGACAAAACGAAGTGACTGACTGACTGTGACTGACGATGTGTCCCCTAGATATGTTTACTCAGTTAAATCTCACAACTCAACGTAATTACATGAAACTCGGTTAATATTAATCGCATAGTAATTATTTGTATTCAAAAAACAGATAGGTAACAAGAACCACGAAAGTTTGTTTCCATTATGCACATTTCAGATTGGTTAAGACAATCCTTTGAAGGATTATTTTTAACAGACATGTTTTAACCATCTCAGCTCGGTTGTGATAATCAGTATAACTTAGTTCCTTTTAACCATATCTTATTTATTTTTAAATACTTTTTTTAACCGAGCTATTTCTACCACAAGGTTAAACGCAATTTTTCTCAGTGCGGGAATAGAACCTACGGACTACCAGACAAACGCTTTAACCACTATATGCTACGGGACCTACTTGAAAATTATTGTCTTATTGAAGAAGACTTGCTGATTTGCTTCTGATGATTCAATAAAGCATTATTGACACTAACCCAAGTGCGAAAACAGGGCCGCCAAGCTGTAATGTAAGTAACCAATATACTGTATAGTTATTCGCCCCTGGGATGGAAGCGCTTCTGTCGCCACTCACACATAAGAAATATGTGTAACGATAGAGCGGGGCTTATGTAGTAGTGTGTAAACAAAATTTTTAACCTTTATTATAATCGTTTGTTTAGTAAAAAATATTAAATATACATCATTTGAAAACGTTTCACTGTAAAAAATTAAAAAGAAAATACTATATGAAGGGAAAAATGAGAACAATTTTTGTTAGTCTTATGTAAGTATTCCTTAGGAAAATATTTCAATTTTTTTATGCTGGCATTTTGACAGTAAGCAATCCCAGGCGCGAAGTGACGCCGAGTTCAGGCTTTATAAAGATTGGCCGAGCATTGGTCAACATTGATTGAGCATAAGTGAATCAGCGAGAGCAGGAATGATCGAAGCTTTAATGTAACACCGATTCCAGACTGCAGCGCGAGCCTTGATTCAGCATTGGACATCAATGCTCAATCAATGCTGCGGACGCCTAACGCAGGACTGAAACAAGACTGCTTCCACTGTTCCCAAATTTACTTGTTTCTCACGTTTATTCAATATAATGTGAATATATGAATTATTAATAATAATAATAAATATTATTGTTATTATTTTAATTCATGTGCGTATATATACATATATATTTAATGACAATAAGTTATTATTTGTAATAATTATATTATTTTCATATAAATAAGAATATATTACTAACAATAAATATCATTTGAATAGTAATTTAAAAAAAATAATTTTAGTAAAAAAAGACAATTTTTCTGTTAATCGTTACATTTTTTTCTTGATTTTTAACAGACTTTTAACATTATTTATAAAAATGTTCACATTTTTTATTCACGACACAACACACAATTTTATTTTTCTATATAAACGCTTATAACAAAGAATGAAAAATATTCGCTCGCATGTGGGATCGAAACTCACGCACCCCGCCCCCCTAACGCATACCGGATGTTCTCAACGCACGCATTTAAACCGCTCGGCCACAGAAGGCTGGAAGGCTTCTCGCCTAATCTACTATATCAATGCCAGTGCCGTCACTCAGTATGGGACACCAATGTTCGTCCCATGCTCGATTCAAGACTCGGTCAATCATGTTACAATATTCAGTTTTTTTATTGCCGTGTGCACTGTACAATATTAAATATAAATATTTATAAATTATTTAATATTAAAATATTTTTTCTGATAATTTTATAAGTTAAATTATATATTATTTTTTTTCTCGCACACTGTCAAATTATTATTTTCAAAGTTCAAGAGTTTCGTTTATCTGTAAAATTTTCAGTGAAAAAAATGTTCATTAGGTAGTAGTAAATATTTATGCCTAGTAGTTTTACACTAGGTTTAACTGTTTACTGAATATTATCAAAAATATATTTTTCGTCAAACGCGCGCGACTAAACACAAATAACCTTGAGACTTTACAGCGCGACGTTGCGATTGTCGTGCTCCCACCATCCCATCTACTCAATGCACTCCCCGCCTGTGACGTCATGAGGGGAAAGCATTGAGTAGATGGGATGGTGGGAGCACGACAATCGCAACGTCTCAAGGTTATTTGTGTTTAGTCGCGCGCGTTTGACGAAAAATATATTTTTGATAATATTCAGTAAACAGTTAATCCTAGTGTAAAACTACTAGGCATAAATATTTACTACTACCTAATGAACATTTTTTTCACTGAAAATTTTACAGATAAACGAAACTCTTGAACTTTGAAAATAATAATTTGACACTGTGCGAGAAAAAAAATAATATATAATAATTTAACTTTATTGATATGAATCTTATGTAATTAATATAAATATTATACACTAAATAAATATTAATATTTATTTACCAATTGATATCTTAATAACAATAATAATAATACTTATTATATTATTTAATAATAATTAATAATAATAATTTTTTGTCGGATAGTTGGGTTTATGAATTAAACACTGGATTTCGATTATTACTCATTATAGTTTATTTATACTCTTATCGAAATAACACTCTTAATCTCTTAGAATATTTAAGTCTCACATTAACAATATATTTTGTGTATCGGTTTATAACCGAGAGAGAAAAACAATACGCGCGCAAAAAGGCACAAAGAGCGAGTCGGTCTGAAGTACGCGAGTTATGTATCTCGAGAACATAGTTGTGTATCGACAACGGTCGATACTCTCGATAGAAAATGGCGTTGGCGCCGTATATCGACAAAGTTTAAATCTAAGTTCTAACACTCCCTCCCTTTGTCGATTTATAAAGATACGTGTAAATTAAAGAACAAAACTTAGTTATTAAAAACAAAACAGTAATCTTAAGGTAATGATTGGTCATCTTGAATCAGTCTTCTAGCCTCTAAAGTTTCCTGTTTTTCTAATGTCCACGTTTATCTGTAAGCACAAGAATAATAAGATTAATTTAGAATGTTTCAAATAATACTCAATATTATTTATACTAAGTCATGATACTCTTAAGTTTTTCTTATTTACTCTAACATTTTGTCTCTTAGATATTTATGAGCTTCTAATGGTAGGGGTTTTGTCATTATGTCTGCTATATTTTTTTTAGTAGCGATCCATTTAACGTTAATTTTCCCTTCGTTAACACATTGTTTGATGAAATCTCCACGCGTGTCTGCCATGTGTTTTCTGTTTCCATGTTCTTCTCTAAATTTAAGGTTTTCTTTAATTACTTCCAAACTCTCATCGAACATTTTCATTTTGTGGTTTCCGTCCTTCTTAGTACATTCTCCTGCTGATTTGTTGTCGCACCAGATCGTTACCGGAAGTACAGTTCTACCAATGACATATCTGATAGATTTGTCCAAGGAGATTAGTTCCTGACATGTGTCGCTCATAGCGAGATACTCTGCTTGGCAAGTCGAGAGTGTAACATAAGTTTGCTTATGACTCCTCCATGCAATGACGTCTCCAAACAGTTTAATCACATAACCGCCAGTAGTGGTTGAATCTTGACAATCTCTAAAGCTTGCATTTGTTAATCCCTGCAAGTCATCGGTTTCAGCTTTGAATCTTAATCCCATTTTGGTAGTACCTCTTAAATATCTGAAGACTCTTTTAACATCTATCCAATCTTCTTCAGTTGGCTCCAGTTGTTTTCTCGCTAAGTAATTTACTGCGAATGTAATATCGGGTCTAGTGGCGTTTGATAAGTACATTAAGCTTCCAATAGCTTCTCTATATGGTACCTTTTTGACTTCTTCTTTTGGAGTTTCACTCTTAATCTCTGATTCTTCCATTTTTATTCTTTTACTTCTATTGCTGACTTGTTTCGTTACCATCAGTGTACTTTGTGGTTTGCAATCTTTCATGTTAAATCTCTTCAAAATACTTTCCACATAGTTTTCTTGATGTATCAGCATACTCTTATTTTCTAGGTCTCTTTCAATTGTGATTCCAAGAAAGTTTCTTGGTTCACCAAGATCTTTTAGTTCAAACGCACTACTAAGATGAGTTTTTATTTCCTCTAGTTTTCTTTGGCTGTTGCTGGCCAGGAGCATGTCATCTACGTAAATCAACACGATTGCCATGTTACCTTCTTTTCTCCAAGTAAATAGACACGGCTCGTGTAGATCGTTTTCTAGTCCTAGTTTAATCATTTCTTGCGAAAATCTTCTATTCCACTTTTTCGGACTTATCCTTAATCCATAAAGTGCTCTCTTTAGTTTGCACACTTTGGTTGTTCTTGTTTTCTCGTTTATTTCAATTCCGTCTGGAATCTCCATGTAAATTTCTTCCTCTAATACACCATTTAGGAATGCAGTCTTTACATCTAATTGACGTGCAAACAACTCATATTTGTTTATCATTGCTAAAAGCGCTCTAACAATTGGTAATCTAGAAACAGGAGCATACGTATCTTTCAGATCGTACACGTTTTTATCCTTAAATCCTCTAATCACTAGTCTAGCTTTAAGTCTAGTTGATCCATCAGCCTCTAATTTTTTCTTGAATATCCATTTTGAGTCAATAATGTTTGCTCTTTTTCCATCTTGCATTGTTTTCGGTCGATCAACAAATTCCCATACCTCGTTTTGGTTTAGAGACTCTATTTCTTCTAAAATTGCTGATTTCCAGCCTTCTTTCTCTTTGGTTTGCATTGCCTCTTCGTAGTTAATCGGATCTCTATTTAGTGTCGCTATTAGACAGTGTCTCATTTCAATCTCTTTTTCTTCCTTGGTTGGAATATATTTGTTTTCTTCGTTTACAGAAACACACGAGCAGTTCACGTATCTGGAGAAACTTGTGTCTTCTATCGGCTTCCCCGTGTAAGCTTTCTTGTGTTCTTCTTGGAAATCTAGTTTTCTTTTGTTTTTTACTTCTAGTCACGCAACCATCTCTACTTTCATTTTTCTCCTCTTAATTTTTGCTTTTATTCTCTAATTGTTTCTTAGGTCTTCCTCTTTTTTTGGGTTCTGAGATTGTCTCTTCTTTTGTCTCTTGTTCAATTTCTTTTCTTTCCTCTAAACAATTCCAATTAACCTCTTTCGTTTCATTAACCTCTTGTAAATTTTCATTGTTTTCTTTTTGATCTCTCTTATAAACATCTTTATATACTAGTTTCTCGTTGAATCTCACGTCTCTCGATTCGATAAACTTTCTGGTGCTTGGATGCCAGAGTAAGTAAGCTGTAGTTGTGTATCCGATCAGGACAGCTTTTATTGCTTTTTCGCTGAACTTGGAGTCTGATTTTGGTAGTTTCACATATCCAATGCAACCAAATCGTTTTATTTGATTGAAGTGACAACTAGCATTTAGTGCAAATTTCTCTAAAGGAACTTCAAACTCTATTGACTTGTGAGGAGTTCTGTTGTATGCGTTCACGGCAGCGTCAACAGCAAATTCCCACATGCTCTTTGGTAGCCCTGAGTCGAGCATATAAGCTCTGACTTTGTTTTGAATTGTCTTGTTGAACCTTTCTGCGGTGCCGTTATATTGTGGTGTATAAGGTGGAGACGTTTCAATTTCTGCTTTCTCTTCCTCTAAAATCTCTAAAAACTTTCCTCCGATGAATTCTGTACCCTGATCTGATCTCACAAAGCACAATTTTTCATCTTTACCTTGTAAGTTTCGAGCTGAAATTAGAAAACTCTTAAAGGCCTCACCGTTTTCGTCTTTCGTTTTTAGGGAGTATGTTTTGGCAAATCTAGAATAATCGTCTACGAAGACTACAATAAACTTCTTCGAACTTGGGTAAGAGTTGGGTTTTATAGGACCCATTGTGTCTGTGTGTATCAGTTGTAAGGGTCGCTCTGCTCTTTTTCTAGTCTCTTTAAATAGTATATTAAGCAACAAGAGGAGAAAGGCAGCCATTTCTTTACGGTGATTTTTGTGACACGAGTGGAGGTCGAGGGCGCCTTTATTCTCGTGTTACTTACGATATTTTTTATTCCTAATGCTCAAAAGCGGCGATTTCAGATAGCAGACGACAGGGAGTAAAAGTCATTCACTTGTTCGATTTGTATGAAAATGGCGGCCGATTTCTCCCTTGGGCAAGAAAAATGCATGTGAACAGCTAATTTTCTTGCCCTTGGGAGAACACGGCCGCCATTTTCATACGGTCGAAGAAATGAATGACTTTCCTCCCTGTCGGCTGCTATCAGAAACCGCCGTTTTTGTGCATGTGGGATAAAAAGGTAGTTTTTCCATTTTTGCAATTATACATACTTCGCAATCTAATATGGAATCGTCAAATTTAACTTTCTCTAAACTCTTTTGTGACTTTTGAAGTTTCTTTAGATAATTTAGTGAAGCATGACCTAACCTAACGTGCCACAACATTGCTTCACTAAATCTTTCAGAACTGTCTGGCTTTTTCTCTAACAAATTCGGTATAAGCATTTCTTCTATATGCTCAAAAGATTCTAAACTATCTATCTTAAGTGTTTTTCTTGACATCGAACTACTTTCTATGTCTGTGACAATGTTAAACTCTAAATTTTGCTTTTGGTCTACATCTAAGTTTGTGAGCTTCTCTTCATTCTCCCTCCCAATCGCAGAACGGTCTAAACTAGATTTATTTTCTTCTCCCTCCGAACTTGATAATTCTTTATTTACAAATTTTGTTTGCGATTGTTCTTGAAGCTCATTATAAGTTATCATTCTTGCTCTACAGCAATACTTTTCATACTCTAAGTTTTGTTTGTTTTTAAGGTTAAATTGTACGATCCAATTTGGTTTTTCGTATTTACCCTCTAAAATAATTTTGTTTGTTATTTTATCATGAACCTTAAGTGTTGTATTATCTAAGTAAATGTAGAAACCTGCATCTACTAATCGTCTTAATGAGAGCAAATTTTCAGAGATATCCCCCGCTGCAATGACATCTGTTAATTTAATAAGATTTTTATCCGATGTATTCGATTGCAGCAGAAGATCTCCCTTTCCGTCTATTACAATATCTGCAAATTCGTTTTTATTCGCGCTCTTAATTATACCATTCGTATAAGGTCTAAAATCGTTTAAAATGAAACTTTTGTTTACAATATGATCGGTCGCTCCCGAATCAGCAATGAAATTTATAGTCTCTTTAAAATTTGATAAATTTACATAGTTAATCTTACATTCTTCATTATTCTTCACTTTATTTTTGTTTTGATGACCTTTTGGATTTTTGTTCCATTGTGATTTTCGGTCGAATTTTCCTTTCTCAGTATTATTAAAATTTTTAAACGTCTTCTCTTTATTTTCTCTACTAAAATTCTTTTGCTCTTTTCTAAATTTATAGGGATTTTTCGTTTCTGGTTCAAGTTTACTCTTATTTCTATTAAATAGATTACTCTTGATGTTTTTACCTCTATTCTTATCATATGGCTGTCGGCGAGTCGTCGGACAGTCATCTCCTTTGTGATCTGTTACCTTCTGGCAATAGTAACAAAACCATTGACCGCAATTCTGGAGGTGGCAGTCCTTTGCCCAGTGTCCTATTGCGTTGCATCTATGGCAGCGTGTTTCTTTATTCTCGTTCTGGAATGTCCTCGATCGCTGAGCTCTAACTTCTTCCTTCTTTTCGCTCTTCTTTTCAGCCTCTAACTGTAAGAGAAATGATTTAATTTCCTCTAGGCTCATTTCTTTTGAAAAATTTTGTCTCTGAATAAAATCAGCGTTTCTGAGTTCTGGTGTTATTGAGGATACAGCCTGGTAAAAAGAAGATCGCTTCTCTTGTTCGGTAAGAGGAACGGCATTCTCACAGACTTCATATTCTCTAATAATAGAGTCAAAACGTTCACAGAAATCATCTAATTTTTCTTCTTTTCTCATTTTAATTTGATAAAGTCGTGCTCTCACAGAAGTGTGAGTCACATTATTTTCACTCTTTTTATAACCTCTTAATTTCTTTAAAATCTCCTTTGGGTCAGATTCATTCAAAATTCTCTTGTGATAATGTTTATCTAAATGATTAATGATTATATCTCTAACTATACTTTTTCATTTTAAACTACTTGATGCAGAAATATTTTCTGGACTTTTTACATTTGAATCAATTATGTCCATCAAATCGTTACTCGTTAAATCAGATTTTAAATAGTCTAACCAAAGGTCAAAGTTAGTTTTCTGTGCCAGTTTATATTCTCTTTTTACGTTTATTTTTGAAGTGTGGAATTCGTTCTCTATTAGTTTTTCCTTTAAAGCATCTACACTTTCTCTAAATTTAATTTGGTCATCTAAAGCTTTAGAACTACTTGGATCAGAAACTACTTTTTGCCGTTTTGAATTACTTTCCTCTTTTGAATCGGCCTCTAATTTTCGTTTAAAATTACTCTTATTTTGGGTTACCTCTAGATTTTTAAGTCGAAGACGTTCAGTTTCCAGATTATTTTGTGATATTTGGACCATGTGTGCCACCAAATGATTTGCTTCGACCATCACCTTTTCGAGAGATTCAAGCGAACTTTTCATGCGAACTACGGTTTCCTCTTGAAGCTTGCGCAGTTTCGTGTACTTGTGCTGGATAACGGTTAAGTTTGAAGTTTGAAAGAGTTCATTGCTTAAAATTCTCGGGGTATTTTTCTTGATCGTCTCTTTGGATTTTTCTGTAAAAAAAAATTCTGATTAATACCTGGATTTTATCTCTTACTCTTAACATGAATGCATTGTCAGGCCTGACCTTCTTAAACTTTTTTCTTTTTAAACACATCTTTAGAAAAATTCTATTTTATTTTCGTCTATATATTTTTATTTACAGTACTTCTAAAATAAATTTCAATATGGCAGAAAAATAAGAAAAAAAATATATACACATATATATTTATTTAATTATTTATTTAACATCTATTTACTCTTACTCTCTGAATTTTCCTCTTTAGATTCCTCTTTTATTTTTATTCCGTTGTCTCTTTCTTCTTCAAGTTTCTCTATTTCTTCTTCTAAATTCTCTTTATTATTATGTAGTGTGTCGGATGTCTCTGTGTTGTCCAATTTCTCATCGTTGGGATGGTTTCCTATTGAAAATTCGTCTTCCGAATCGTATTCCACGAGTGGATTATTTTGAAATTCGAAAAACGGTGTAAAGTTCTTTTCTGCCATCTGTTGTGGGTTTATGAAAACATATTTTCCTTAATTGTATTTTATTAACAATAATTTATTTATTTTCTCTTATGATATTTTAAATACCAGGTATACTCTAAATCTTTGTTTGCAAAAAAAATTTTGAAAGGAAAATGAATGCTTCTTGCCTCTGATCTACAACAGACGCACAGCAATCTATTGCAAAGCGAGGCGGAAGCCTGTATTCCTCCGCGCGACTACACGGACACGCACACCCTTTCTCGAACTTTGTGGCCAAAAAGCACTGCTTTTAAACCTGTAGGATTTCGGGTTGGCCACGCGCGTATTCGAGAGTCCCGCAGAATCACACTGACTCCCTAGTCGACAGACAAAATCCATTGCACAGCAAATTCATTTGAAAATCGACCCCACAACTTATTTTACTTCAAAGCGAAATGACTAGTATATCACGCAAGAAAAAAAATTGTAATTCTAATTTATTTTTCTTCTATTATTTTTCTCTAGTCTCTTATAATAAAAATTTTATTACATTCTAAAATTCTTCTAAAATAAACTCAAGTCTCTTTATAGTTTAATTTTGACTGTTTTTTAAAAAAAAATTTGTGCTTAAAAGCCGGCATACAAACACCATGCTTGATACACACAAGGACGCCATGCCGTCCGCCAAGTTAAATTTTACGTCTATTTCTCTACTTTTACTGTCTGTAAATTTTCTCTATTTATCCACAATAATATCTTAAAGATACTAACCTTTTTGGTTGTGCTGTGTTTAATGTAATAACACTTTTATTTTACCACAAGGACACTTTAATTATTTGACGCAGAGGAAGCGTGCCCTGGGCCCATAACCTGTCGGATAGTTGGGTTTATGAATTAAACACTGGATTTCGATTATTACTCTTTATAGTTTATTTATACTCTTATCGAAATAACACTCTTAATCTCTTAGAATATTTAAGTCTCACATTAACAATATATTTTGTGTATCGGTTTATAACCGAGAGAGAAAAACAATACGCGCGCGGAAAGGCACAAAGAGCGAGTCGGTCTGAAGTACGCGAGTTATGTATCTCGAGAACATAGTTGTGTATCGACAACGGTCGATACTCTCGATAGAAAATGGCGTTGGCGCCGTATATCGACAAAGTTTAAATCTAAGTTCTAACATTTTTAAATAGTATAAAAAATTACTAAAAATTATCAGAAATAATATTTTAATATTAAATAATTTATAAGTATTTATATCTAATATTGTTAAGTGCACACGGTAATAAATAAACTATCAAGATTGATTAAAGCTTGAATAAAGACTGGATGTTGAAGCTTCACTCACGAAGATTGACCGAGTGTTAAATCGAGCATGGGACGAACATTGGTGTCCCATGCTGAACCAATATTGAGTGACAATGATATAAAGACTGTTTCAACTCTGGGTTACCCACGCTGGGCGTTCAAGACTCAGTCAAGTTTCAACCCATCGTCAGCACTGGTCTTTCGCGCCTGGGATCTCTTAATTATTAAAAGATAATTTATGTTATTCTGTTAAAATTTTGTTAATCAATCACTCTTATATATTAAATTTGTTATATTTATTACTAATATTATTATTAAATGATAGAAATACAAAGACTAAGGAAAATGAAAATGTAAACTGACAGTTATAATGCCGGTATATGTTTGCAAAAAATTAAAATATTTACTTAAGCAATACTGATAGAATAGAACAAAGTCATTTTCACCCTTCTATTCACATTAAATTTGTTCAATAAAACGTGTTCAAATGATGTATTTTAAATTTTTTTTACTAAACAAACGATTATAATAAAGGTTAAAAATTTTGTTTACACACTACTACATAAGCCCCGCTCTATCTTTACACATATTCTTATGTGTAAGTGGCGACAGAAGCGCCTCCATCCCAGGGGCGACGAACTATACAGTATATTGGTTACACGGAGAAGCTTTTAATACCACTAATTCTTAAAACTGGTGAGACATTTTAGTATGTTAGGTTAGATTCAAGGGAAAAACGACATAGGTTATAGAAATTGCTATTGAGACTATCAAAAACACTCATTCAGTATATATTTTACAGTTCTTCATAAGGAAACTAACGAAAATTAGTATGTTGTTTTAGAAAGAAAATAATAATTTTTGCAAAGTTGGGAAAGCCATGAATTAAAAAGAAACACAACAAATTAATTGTCTATAGATACTCATAGAGACGATAGTGATACTTGGATCTGATGGTAGATGGCATTAGTGTATGTCACTGTAACTGTAGGTAAATATATTTAACACGACGTAAGAACCTAACCTAACCTATATTATTAACGCACACACGCACAAGCAAGTAAAGACACGACGATTGGTCACGGAAACCGAAAGATCGCACGGTTCGTTAGAAGTACACAGCTGAATCGTCCTTATATATTAAACGAGTGGAAAAATATGTGCCTTCGAGAGAGAGCATTTTTTAAAATAACTTACTAATCAAATTATGTAAATAAGTAAAAGTCGTGAAAAAAATTATGTTATATTGAGGAACAGTTCTTGAATTTAATTTGGCATGAGGAGACATTCACGTTTATTAATAAAAGGTTTTTTTCTTTCATACACGTGTGAATTTCAACTTCGAAAACATTAGGGTTAGTTCGCGACGTCAGGTGATGGACTGGGTGATGCTCGGGCGAAATCGGTTAAGTCCGCCCGCAGTCCTTCCAAAATTGGTATGTTACGTTAGAATGTCTGTTATATATTCTATCTATATGTGGAAAAAAGGTTAGAATTACCGTATTATTTCACAAACATAAACTAGCATTTTATTCTTTTCTAAAGAAAAATAAGACTATTTCTAATGCAGATAGTAATTTTTGTACACCGAAGGTTGCTTAATATATAACGAACTTATCATATTTTCGTATTAACCCGGCGAGCGTAAGGTAGGGTAAAATTTACCCTGCAGAATATTCATTTCTCCATAATTCGAATTTGAATTGATGAAATTACCTGTAATTTTTAATAGCTGCACTTAATACGGTAACAAATCAATAACGAATAAAAAAATTATTTTTTTTGCATTTCTTATTATTTATTTATAATAATTGTCAACACATGTATCCTGAATATAAAACACACTACGACGAGTATTGTTCTTTGTATAATTTTAAAAAAAGTTGGAATCATGAATGAACTTCACTATTATTGTTTACTAAGGATAAATAATGTTTTTTACTATTATTACAATTAAATTTTCATTTGTTTAAACAAATTATTATTGTTAATTTATAACAATTCCAAAAACAAAATAGAGAAAAGCAAATTTCTAAAAATTTGGCAGCTAATATCAGTATTATTTAATGCTAAATTAATGATTTAAATAAAACATTAAATTAAATTTGCTATAGTTATTAATTAACATTGTTTAAACAATTAATTGTTGTTATTTATTAACTTTTTTCTATTGCACTTAGAAAGATGCAGTTTTTTCCTAATTTTGCAATTTTGGACCTAAGATAATAACCGATAATTATTAAATATCAATTCGATATGTTAACAATTGTTTAAACAATTAATTGTTGTTATTTATTACCTTTTTTTCTATTGCACCTAGGAAGATGCAGTTTTTTCCTAATTTTACAATTTTGGACCTAAGATAATAACCGATAATTATTGAATGTCAATTCGATATGTTAACAATTGTTTAAACAATTAATTGTTGTTATTTATTAACTTTTTTCTATTGCACCTAGAACAGTGCAGTTTTTTTTAATTTTGCAATTTTGGATCTAAGATAATATACGTTGATAATAAACGTTGTAAACCTTACCAACGTTTTTGTTGGTTAGAAAAAAACTGCATCTTCCTAGGTGCAATAGAAAAAACATTAATAAATAATAACAATTAATTGTTTAAACAATTGTTAACATATCCAACTGACATTTAATAATGATCGGTTATTATCTTAGATCCAAAATTGCAAAATTAAAAAAAACTGCATCTTTCTAGGTGCAATAGAAAAAAAGTTAATAAATAGCAACAATTAATTGTTTAAACAATTGTTAACATATCGAATTGACATTTAATAATTATCGGTTATTATTTTAGGTCCAAAATTGCAAAATTAAAAAAAAACTCCATCTTTCTAAGTGCAATAGAAAAAAAGTTAATAAATAACAACAATTAATTGTTTAAACAATGTTAAATAATAATTATAGCAAATTTAATTTAATGTTTTATTTAATTCATTAATTTAGCATTAAATAATACCGATATCATGCTGCCAAATATATAGAAATTTGCTTTTCCCTATTTTGTTTTTGGAATTGTTATAAATTAACAATAATAATTTGTTTAAACAAATGAAAAATTTATCGTAATATTAATAAATTAGATTACTTTGCAACATAAAACATTTATAGAAAAAAATTTCCATGATTTTAAGTTTTTTTTAATTTATAAATAGTAAATTACATTACAGGGTAAAAAATACCCTACCTTACGCTCGGTGTTGCAAAATTCCACCTTACGCTCGCCGGGTTAATGTTGAAATTATTAGCACAACGCACGAAAAATCCTCACATTCTAACGTACTTTTAGAATAAAGATAACCAAATATATTTAATATTAGAAGAAAAAGTTTCTCCGTGTACTTACATTACAGCTTGGCGGCCCTGTGCGAAAACCAACGCGGCCCAACACTGGCCCAGTATTAGCAAATCTGGCATGGAGACTTGACAGACAATATTGGCCCGACTTTTGTGGTGTTAACCACGGTTGGACGTCGGCAGCCAGATGTCGGCAGACATTAATGGCCCAATATTGGCTGCCATTACTCCCCCAGTGTTGACAAAATTAAAAAAAAATAAATATATTTTTTATTTAATTAACTAATTAATTTATAACTAGCGACATATCCTTACTCGCTGACGCTCGCTCGGCTGTATTTATAATTATTTGTTTTTATTTATTTGAGATAAGTAAATGTTTACTGAACATAAATATTTTATTTTATAGCATCAAATAAATAGTTATTTGTACCAAATATAAATTACTTAAGTAAAAATATGCAATAATTAAATATATTATTACTTATTATTAACTATAATAATCCTCTTGTTCTGTCCAGTCTGTCCACACTTGAAGTTAGAGTTTTGTGTATGCTTTTGTTTTTTTTCTTTGACTTTAATTAAAATTTGTCGTCGCGTCTCGCTGTCATTAGTCGTGTGTCTGTGGTATTTACCATTTTATTATAATTGCACAATTGTCGATCGTGTTTTCAGCACGTGTTGGAATCGCAAATATATTGTGTATTGTGTTGTGTTCAACCGGTTCAACCTGACATTGGAATAGCAGAAAACGCTGGACAGATTGGTAAGTTTAAATTCACATTTTCTTATACAGGTTATATATATGACGTCAGAGTCTTGTGACGTATGTTTAGACAGATGTAAACAAAGTTTACTTTGTCAAACATGCGTTTTTTAAGGTTCAAGTGAAATTATTCTTCACAATTATATAATTATATAACAATCTTCTTTATAACAACCTCTGATAAATTAAGGTTTAATTAATATTTTTTTATTAATTTAATTTAATTTAAAAATTCATAAATACAAAAAAGTGAAAAGTATAATAATATTTAAATGTAAGAAATCATTAATTTGTTAGTTTTCTTGAAAATTAATATTTTAATAGGTATTTTAACTAATATCTTTTTCAAAAAATTATTAAAATTCGAAATATTTAATGTTTAAATTATGAGAAAAATTAGGTTTTTGGAAAATGGTAATTAAAATTTTATTTGAATATTCTCGAGAATAATAATTTTTCAAAATTGAAACAATTGGAAATTTTGTCAAATTTCATTAAAATAAGTTTTATATTTTAAAAAATTTTATTTTTTCACCTTAGTAAAAATTACTTTTTTATTTTTTTACATATAATTGTCTTTTTGAAAAATTGTAATTAAAGATTTTTTAAATTGAATTTTTCAGAAAAATAATTCTATTCTACTTTAATGATTCAACATTCTCATTGTTAAATTATTGTGACAAGAATTAATTTTAAAAATATTATTACAGTTACAATATTATAAAATACTATTAACTATATAATAATTTAAAATATTTCTTAATTTTTATCAAATTTAAAAAACAATGCTCTAAAAATCATATTTCATAAAAAATTAAGAAATTTCATTAAATTTCAAAAAAAAATTTTAAATCAACAACGGACTTATTGAAATATCAGTCATATTTTTGTAAATGAAAAAATTTCACTGATTTTCACTGATTCAGATTTACATAGAATAGAAAATTATTTGATTCAATTAATTCAAGTTATTTGAAAAAATTTAATTCAAATAATTTTTATTTGGATCTAACAAATATTTATTTCAGGGTGGTAGGATTTGAACTAGATCCGTAAATCGCGTAAAAGTCTGTAATTTAATTCAAAAAGGATAAAATTTCGTAAATTGTAAGATATAATTTGGATAATTTTAGAGAAATGAAATTACAAATGATTGCAGAAATTTAATTATTTTTAAAAGTAATAAAATTCTTCACAGAAATTCAATTATGTTCAAAAATGTTCCTCAATTCGATGATTTAATTATTTAAAAAAAACTTTAATAAAATTCTTTACAAACTTTTAATTATTTTCAAAAAATAATAAAAATTTCACAGGAATTTTATTATTTACAAACTTTTTATAAATTTCTTTTGCAATTCTTCAATTATTTTCATAAATGGTAAAATTTTTACTTGAATTCAATTATTTTTGTAAATAATAAAAAAATAAAATTCTTTTTGGCTTCCGTTTCCGGTACCGATAGAGTTCAGTCGCGTTTGGATATTGTGAAGGTTTTTTTGCCAAAAATAAAGGCTTTTTTTTAAGGGGTGGTTGTTTGTATGGGAATATAAGTGTTAAAGAAAGTGCGGAGTGTTAAGTGTGTGAAAAATTGTTTGGCTGTAAAATTGGTGTGAGTGTTTAAAACAGGTGAGAAAGTCGTAGGTATTTTAGGGTTAGTTGGAAAACGTGGTGAGTGAGTGTGACAGGTGTATTGGGTGAGAGAGAAGGCGGAGGAAGTTGGGGAGAAGGTGATTGAGTCACGTTGTGGAAAATGACGGTAAGATCGCCAAATAAAAGCGAGAGATGGCAGTCAATGCCGGGGATCGCTGGGAATGATGAGAAGACAGAAGGAGAGATCGAGGGGGAGGAGAGAGAACTGCTGGATCTATTAAGCGGTAGTGAGGGAAAGAAGGATGTAGGGGGAAAGGGGAGACAACGCAGGAGTTTTTCGTTGACAGACGAAAATGTAGTGAGTGTAGGCAGCGCGGATTTCAATGCTAATACGAAAGAGAAACCGGGAAGGCCGACCAATTTAAAATTGTTAGATAAAGAGAGGGATATTAATAAAGGAATGATGATAAAATTTGTACAAGGTGGGAAAGGGAAAGAAGGAGACGATAAGAACAAAGATAAACAGGAATCAGAAAATAAAAGGGAAAATAAAGGTAGAAAAGAAAGAAAAGAATTTGCGGATTTAGAAGAATTGATTAAAAGAATGGGAGAAAGTACAAGTAAAGGTATGGAAAAAATAAATAGGAACTTGGATAGGAAAATGGATAAAGTGAACGAAGGGCTAAGCAACGAAATAGGGGGGATAAAGAAAATGTGCGAAGAATGGGAAAAGCGATGGAAGGTTGAAAAGGATAAAATGTACAAGAAACTCAATGCGTTAGAGGAAAATCAAAAAGAAACTAAGGAAGAAGTGGAAAGAGAATTATGGGAGGTGAGGGAGGTATTAAGGGAATCGAAAGAAATGGTGACAGATGTAAAGAAAAGATTGGAAGAATTAGAATGTAACAAAGAGGTCCAAGTATGTAGAGAAGTGAGAGAGACAGGGTTAGAGGAAAAGATGGAGGAGGTCACTAAATGGATGGAACGCACAGAGAGGGAAAAACGAAAGAGTAACATAGTGGTCAAAGGGATGAAAGTAGAAAGAAAGGATGGAAAAGTGACTATTGAAAAAATATTTAGAGAGATAGGAGCAAATGTGAACATTGTGGGATTAAAAGGGGTTGGTGGGGAGGACAAGGAAAGGCCTAAAGTGTGGGTAGTGCAACTGGCAAACGAAGAACAGAAAATGGAGGTGATGGCATCAAAAAATAAATTAAAGGGAAGGAAAGAAATAATAGAAGAGGATAAAACATGGAAGGAAAGAGTAATTTCGAGGAAATTAGATCAAAAGAAGTGGGAAGAGAGGGATAAAGGTGCACAAGTAAAGAGAGGAAGGGAATGTGTATGGATAAATGGGGTTAAGTGGGTAGTAAGCGAAGCAACAGGAGAAGTGGTAAAGGACGAAAGGAATAGAGAAAAAATTATGTCAGAGGGACGTGAAAATGGAAATAATGAAAAGGTTTTTTGGGTCAGGAGTGGAGAAGGGAGTGGAGTAGAGATTTCAAGGAAAGAGCGGGAATAAAAGCGGTTTTCTGGAATGTGGGGGGGATGAACAATAAAGATGAGGGATTTTGGAAAACATTGGAGAAGTGGGATGTTCTGATGTTATGTGAAACGTGGATTGAATTGAAGGATTGGGAGAGAATAAAGCGAAAGTTACCGAAGGGATACAGATGGAAAATAGAAGGTGCGAAGAGAGAATTTCAAAAAGGGAGAGGAGCAGGAGGTATGATATCAGGAGTAAGGGTGGAGATGAGGGAGGCAAGGAACTCGGTAAGAGAAGAAGAGGGATGCATGGTTAGGAGTATAAAAATAGGAAGAGAAAATTTAGACATAGTGGGGATATATAGTAGAAGGGGTGAGGAAAAGGGATGGAAGAGTTTAAAAGGGTGGATGGAAAAAGGAAGGGATAATAAAGTGATTATTGGAGGAGACTTAAATGTGTGGACTGGAGAATTGGGGGGTGGTGTATGGGATGAAGAATGTGAAAAGTATGTGAGGGTATCACGGCATAAGGAGGTGGACAGTGAGGGAAAAAGGTTGTTGGAATTACTCGAGGAAGAAGGTTGGGCTATATGTAATGGAAACATTGAAGGAGATGAAGAAGGAAATTACACATACTGTGGGAAAGGAAACACTGTCATCGACTATGTCTTGACGAATGAGAAAGGTAGAGATGGGATAAGAAGGATGAAGGTAGGAAGAGAAATAGGGTCCGATCATTTTCCACTGGTTGTAGAATTGGAGGGGACAAAACCTAAAAATAGGAGAGTGGTAAAGACGGCAGAAAATCCAAAGAAAATTAAAATGGGAAAGTGGAATGAAGAAAGATTGGCAGAATTTGGAAAAAGGATGCAAGAGGAGATGGAAGAAGGGATTGAGACCGAAAGTGTGGATATGAGAATAGGACGTATAAGGGAAACAATTGATAAAATTAAAGAGAACATGGGACATGCAGAGAGTAAGGAAGTAAGGTATAAAGGGTGGTGGGATGGTGAGTGCGATGAAAGTAGAAAAAGAATGAGGGTTTATATTAAGGAGTGGAGAAAAGGAAAAATAGAGAGAAATGAGTACAATAGAAAGCATAAGGAGCATGAGAAGCTATTAAAGGGGAAAAAAGAAGAGGAGAAGAAGAGGTTTATGGAGGAGGTTGAAAATGCCGTGAAAGATGGAAGAGAGTGGGAGGTTATAAACAGGGAAAGAAGGAAGGGTAAACAAATTAATAAGAACATAAAAATGGAGGAGTGGACACAGTATTTCATGGAGATGAGCGGAGGAACAGAACACAAAGTAAGAGGAGAAGGAAGGAAAGCAGTAATAGGAGAAGACGAGGAGGAGGTGTCGAGAGAAGAGGTAGAGGAGGCAATAAATAAGTTGAAGAGACATAAAGCAGTGGGGCAAGATGGGATGGAAGGTGAAAGTATAAAATATGGGGGGGAGAAATTAAGGGTGGAAATTTGGAAGATTGTAAATAAAGTATGGATGGGAGAAGGATGGCCACAGGAGTGGAAAACGGGACTTATTGTTCCACTTGTGAAAAAAGGAAATGGAAAGAAAGTAGAAGATTATAGGGGGATAACGCTAATGCCAGTTAGCTATAAAGTATACGCAGAGGTGCTAAGAAGCAGGTTGGAAAAGGAGGTTAAGAGGAAGGGAGGGATTCCACATAACCAAGCAGGGTTTAGGAAAGGAATGGGCACAATGGACCATGTTTATACCCTAAATTATTTGGTTAATAGAAATTTGAAGGAAAAAGGAGGAAAAATGGTGGCACTCTTTGTGGATCTTAAGGCGGCCTTCCCTTCGGTTAATAGGGGAATTTTATGGAAGGTACTAAAGGAAAGGGGAATAAAGGAAGGAATTGTGGAAAGAGTTAAGGAGTTATACACGGATGTCAGAAAAAGAGTTAGAATAGGAGAGAAATTGGGAAAAGAGTTCTGGTTGGGAAGAGGGTTGATGCAGGGTTGTCCTATGAGTCCCATTCTCTTTAGCTTACTAATGGCGGATTTAGAATAAAAGCTGGAGAGAAGAGGAAAGGGAGGGATAAAATTGGGAAAGGGAAAAATATACTCACTTGCGTATGCGGACGACGTGGTACTTATGGCGGAAAAGGAGGCAGGAATGAGATTGTTAATGAAAGAATTTGAGAAGTATGTAGGAGAAAAAGACTTATGGGTGAATGTAGAGAAAACAAAAATTGTGAGGTTTATGAATAAAAGGGATGAGGGACAGAATGAATGGAAAATGAATGGAAGAATGGTTGAAGAGGTGAGTGAGTTCTGTTATCTGGGTTTCTGGTTTACGTATAATGGTGGGCATGATTTGAATGTGAATAGAAGAGTAGAAAGAGCGATCAAAATAATGGGGCAAGTATGGGGGATAGGGGAAAGAAGGTTTAAGAATGACTGGAAAAGAAGATTGTGGTGGGTGATGGGTGTGAGTGGAAATTGTCCGGGATATATGTTAAGAGAGGAATTGGGTAGAGAGAAAATGTATGTAAGGCAGAGAAACAGGGCTTGGGGTTTTGAGGAAAAAATGAGACAGGGCAGAGGGTGCAAGTGGACGCGTATATGTTGGATGGAAGTTAAAGAAAGAGAGGGAAAAAGAAAGAATGAATTGGCTAAATGGGAGAATGAGAGGATAAATGAGCTAAAAAAAGGTATGAATAAGGGAAGAGGATGGATGGAGGTGAGAAAGGGATGGGAAGAGAATGATAGAGAGGAAAGGTGGGAGAGGATAACAGAATCAAGATACAATAAGTGGTACAGAATGATAAAAGGAAGAGAAGTGCCAAAGTATTTAAGAAGTTTTAAAAAAGAAGGGAAAATGAACAGAGTGGTTAGGTTTTGAATGGGGGAAGGAATGAGGGTATGTAGATATTGGGCGAATGAAAGTGAGAAATTATGCAGAGTATGTGGGTTTGAAGTGGAAGACTGGGAACATGTTTTGGATAGGTGTGCGAGAAGAGAGGAAGATGAAAGAGGAGTGGGTGAAAGAGTAATATGGATTTTGAATGAGAATGGTCAAGGTGAGAGATGGATGTATGAATTAGAAAGAATAAGAGTGAATGAGGGGATTATTTAAATTAAAGATAAAGAGGGTGGGATCGTAAGTTTAGTTTAATTTCAATTTGACTTCAAATAACGAAGCCATATGGAACGGGAAACGGAAGCCCGGCACTGGCGGATAAATTATAATTATAATAGATTAGGATTAAGATTTTGTATTAGGTTAAGGTAGAATAAGAAATTTGTAATTTAGTTTAAGTTTTTATGTAATATGGGTCCTCGAACCCTGCATTGGGCAGGGAGAGTAAATAAAATATATATATAAAATTCTTTTTAGGAATTCAATTCGATTATTATTTTTATAAATAATAAAACTGATTGCCAAATTTTAATTAATTTTTTTTAATACAATTTTAATCGAATTCGTCGAACAAATTCTAAAATTTTTTAAAAATTCATTAAAGGAATGAATTTTTCACATTTTTAACTAACAATTCTGTAGAATCAATTTTTTTTGAAATTATTTAAAGTTTTTATTTTCTAATATATATATTTATTTGAAGGATTTTTACGAATAATAATCGAAATTTTGAAAAATTGAACTGTAAACAAATGAATTTGAAAATTCTTAAAGAACTTTTTCAAAAATTATTAAAAATAATGGATTTAGGGAAGATGTTTAGGTAAAAACACAAAAAAAATTCAATTTTGTAAAAGTTACAAATTATTGCAAAAATTCAATTATTTTCAAGAGTATTAAAATTCTTCGCAAAAATTAAATATTGTTCAAAAGTAATAAAATTCTTCTTAGAAATTCAATTATTTTCACAAATAATAAAAGTCATTGCAGAATTTCAATTCTTTTTAATACAATTTTAATCGAATTTCTCGAAAAATGTAATTATTCTTAAAAAATTTTTATTAAAATTCGTTGATAGAATTCAATTATTTAAAAATTATTTAAAAAAATTGAATTTTGAAATAGTTTAATTGAATTCTTTTAATATTATTTGAAGTTTTTATTTTCTAATATATTTATTTAATAGAAGAATTTACGAATAATTAAAATTTCGTAAAATTGAATATTAAAGAAATGGATTTGGAAATTGTCAAAGTAAAGTCAGAGAAATGACAGAAAAAAATTCTTTTCAGGGAAATAAGAAAATTGAGACTTTTTAAACTAATTTTCAAAAATTGCGGATTTTTCGACTTTTTTCCTAATGTTACAACAAAGTACCGTTGATTTTTTAGTATAAAATGCAACATATTTCGATTTTTGTAGTGCGAAAAATAATAACTATAAGCAAATCTTTCAAAAATTTTTTTTGAATCATTTTTAAGGTAATTTTCAAATATATATCTATAATCTATAATAAAAATTGTTTTGAATAATTTGAATTTTGTCAAATTTAATTGAAAATAATTATTTTTTTCAAGTATTCAGTTTCAATTTTTGAAAATCAAGTTTTAAAGAATTTTTATTGCAAATATGGAAAATAATTGAATTATCAATAATTTTAATGAAAAATCTTTAAATGTAAATGTTGAAATATTGTATATTCGCGCCTAATATCTCGCTTGACTCTAACAGTAGTTTGATTCTACGTCACTACCGTGTGCGCACGCACTTCTTCTTCTTCTCGATATCGCTTCGACCGTGAACGTCTCGATCGTGTACGAGCTCTTAATAAACGATTGATTTCATCCGTATTTGTGTGTTCTTATTGACTACATCCTGCTCTAAATAATTTGCATGCCAACTGAAAAAGAAAATGTTATTGGTAAAGTAGAAATTATTTACATATCACTTTACCATAGGTATTTAATTAAATGACAATTATTATTGTTTAATTAGTCTTATTAATAAATGTAATTAATATTTTTACGTTCTTTTAACAATATACACTATTTTTTCCCTTATTTACAACTTTTCCACAAATGAAATATGAAAAATAACATTGCTATAAAATCACAATGACATTTTTGCACATTTCAGTTAATTATTAATTATACA